TTATATCTCGTATGTTTTAAAAAATAACATAATGATTTGGAATGTATAGGTTATTTAGAAAACCAAGTGACCCACAATACTCAATAGGGTATGTAAAAATTCTGCGTCGCTTTCTCTATTATATCCTTTTTACAGAATCTATTTATCTCTTATAGTTTAAAAGATATAACAAAAACGCGATGCGCAACATTAATTGAACGCCTCTTTATATTACTATTATTAAGCATGCAACATTTATTCTGTCATTTCATATGGGAAAGGTTTTAATTGTTATTAAATATTATAATTTTAAATATATTTATAACTATCATAATATACATGTAAATTTTATTTTGTAATAAAATTTAATTTTTATTTTTAATTTTAATTTGCCTTACTATAGCGTAAACTGTCTGTGTTTGGTCGTATTTGATCATGGACATTTTAAATTGTTAAAATTCCCATGAATTATTAAATACAAACTTATAAGATCAAATATTTCTGTTATATAGATAGGAATATACTGTACAGTATATTTACTATTTTTAGTTAACGCACAGCGACCCAGGGGGAAAATGCATCCCCCTCCATCAAGTTGAGACAGTCCTCTTTAGTATTGAAGTCCAATGTAATTGTTGACTCACCTTGGTAAATTTGACTTTTAATCAATCAAGAGTTTGTAAAATTATTGATCAGCCAGTACTCATCAGTTTTATTAAAAATAATTGTAACATGAATTTTAATTGGCCCACATGTTACATGTGGACAAATTAGAAATGAGTTAATAAACAAATCTATAAACCACATTGATCATAGCTCAATTGTTGTTAAAAATAATATTTTAATTAACAGTTAAGTGTAGGTCTCTGTGTATACATAAATTAATTTTCATTATGATAATTATACATATTTTAGTAAGTTGTCAATTTATCATAATGATTTTATGCATCTTTTTATTTAAAATAGATTTAAATACAAATGAAAATTTTTATAATTATAAATTTTAATTAATTTTAATGAGTTATTTTTTTTGAATTTAAATAAGTAATAATTAATATAACTTATCATAACAGTATAACTATGTTTTAACTTATAATACAAATATTTTTGTTTTTAGTTATTTATTACCCTTTATTTGAAAAATACCACACCTTATAAGCAATGCTAACCTTTTGTTACATAACATGTTATCTGCTATTATATAACACTTGTCGTAGTTTTAGTCCTTTTTGTATACTTATATAATACAGCAAAATGTATGAAAATGTTAAATACAAATAGCATTTAAAATTCACAACAATTGTATATCTTATTGATAGAGCAGTTATTATGTAATGTTTGCTTAGCTTTGTTTTTAGCAATTATTTGAATATTATTTTTGATTAACATTTTATTCAAGATATAAAAGTTATTTTTAAACAACTCATTCATACAATCACTTCATTTGATCCCAAGATATGGCACAACAAATGAAACACAAGAAGACATCACTCGAGACCACAGTTGACGGCAATGAAGACAACATTCAACAGGTATTTAACAAACAATATATTTGTTTATTGAGTTTTAATTGTTTTTATCTTACATTTTAGCCCCAAATCTATGCCAAAGACTCTTTGGATCGTTTCGGTGATGATATGTTTTCAATCATCTTATCTTATCTCACAATTGAAGACAATTTTGGCTACGAATGTGTGTCTAAACAGTTCCAGAGGACAGTCTTTGACGGTGTTGTGGACATCACTCTTAACAACCGATTTATTCGTAAAATATCAAAAACGATATCAATTGACACACAATTGTTGGCCACAATTGCTATAAAACTTTCAAACATTGAGACCATTGACTGTCGAGGAATAACCACTGCATACGAAGAACACATTCCCGAACTGTTAAACACATTTCGGAATAATTGTCGGCTTTTAAGAGAAATATACAGCGATTCGCCGCAAGTAATCCAATGGATCCGACCTCTCGTTACACGTATAACGTCTATAAACCCACTCTCGATGTTTCCAGGCATCAAACAATCGCTCATTCATTGCCACCGATTGTCACAATTAAGGGTTAAGTATTTGTCGCATGTCTTCGACACCACTTCCGGACAACTATTGGCAAAAAACTTACATCAATTTGAATTCAGTTACAATAATAACGATAATAACGGACTGTTGGCTGTGTTTGTGACACAGAATCTGTCCCTCAAAAGTCTTGTCGCCCGCGATATCAACGCCACTAAAGACATACTCATTGAACTCTCACAACAATTGTCACGATTAACACAATTACGGCAATTGACGCTTCATTTATGCCTAATATCAGGCGACAACTCATTGCCTGACTTTTTGCGTACAATTGGCTTAAATTGCAAACAATTAAAACGATTGTCACTTGAGCTGAATTCAGGGATATTTTCACTTAATTCGCATCCATTTGAGTCGTTTAGATGTTACCATCGTTTAAAGCGATTACATTTAACAATTAACGTTACGGTAGACGTAAGCGAATCGCTACAATCGTTGACACTCTGTCACCGATTAACACATTTAACACTTCATATCAAACCATTTCAGTCCAATGAATATCTCCTAATTAATTGTGACAAACATTGGCCACGGCTTCAGTACTTATTCATTCATGGTATTTACATGACTCGCGAGTGTTTGGCCAACATCTCAAGACTACCGGCGCTGAACACACTTCTCATTCAATGTTGTAATAGTAATAATCTCTCGGCTAATGATTTTGGACAGTTGTTGTCTACATGTCCTAAACTTCCGAGAGTTGAAATATATGTAAAAAATTCTAATGTGCCTTAATTTATTTAATGTTTATTGAATGCAATTACTAATTGCCAATTGCAATTACTAATTACTAATTGCCAATTAGTTATGCATAGTATGAATATTTATATTTATAAATTATAACTTTACAACATGCCCGGGCATTAAATTCCTGTATATGTGTTTCAATTGTAGATTTAGTTATCGTATATAAGAGATGAATAGAAAATATCTTATTTTATATTAGTACATGATTACTATAAATCAACATTTAATTATTATAAAGTTATTTTTTAAATTTTATTTTATATATTTTTAGCATAGTATAATCATTTATCATGTTTTATAATACTTATAATTGAGTTTCAAAATAAAATAAAATAATATCTTTGAATAATATTGCTATCATTAACTATTAATTTAATTAAATTTTTTAAACACTGTTTTTATTTTTAAAAGGTTAGATATCATTTAAAATCTCAGTTACAAGCATGTAATTATTGGTATTATAATTGTATACAAAACATATATTTAGTATTTAACCCTATTATACATTAATTTTATTGTATTAATTTTATATTGAACATCTGTGACAATCAAATTAATTACTTAAGTTTTAATAACAATGTAAACATAGAACGTAAGTTCTTAGTCAATTTATATCCAGAAATAAATGTACTAGATGATTATAAAAATAGCCATCATCGCTCAAACCATTTAATAAATGTGTCTATGAGCCATCCCTTTCTCTTAAAATGATCAAGTACAAATACACGGCTGTCAACATAGCGCACACCACACCCCATGCGCCCAATCCAAACTCTTTGGTGACAAAGTTTGCTATAATACCAATGATGGTCAGCACCAACAAAACAATCACGATCACTTTATGTTCCTTGATAATTCCAACTAGACCAATCATTGACAATACCAGCCACAACACCACGATTATCAAAACGGCTACCACTGTAACCAAGATAGGTATGAAATGTAACTTGCGCAAAAATATTTAAGCGCTAGTATGATATAAAAATATACAATATAAAACATTATGATCATTATAAAATACCTTGTTCTTTATCAAGATCATGTTCTGCAAGGCTGTCATCGCTAACACTCAACGCTATGCCGCACAACACTATCGTTATTATACAGCCTATGATTGCCAACACATACAGCACTTCCAGACAGATCTTCACAACTGTTAATGTTTTTTGTTTACTGAATGCCATTATTATCACTGAAATATAGCACAAATTTGTTTCCTATGTACTAATGGATAGTATTTAAAATACAAATACAACAAAGTCACTGTAAATTATAACTATTATTATGATTATAATAAAATGTATTTTGTTATAATTAATATACAAACTTATTTTACATAATAGCCAAGATTATTGATATGCAAATAGTTAGCCATGGTAAGTTGTTCTTAATGGATGAAGATATGTGAAATTTTTGTCTCACTAATCGCTGCCAAATATAATAAATTGTACATTTATTTTGCATAGTTTTTGCATAGATATAAATAATTTTATGTATATTTTTATTTCAGTAAGTTAACGATGGTATTTATTAGCTCTCTCTCTCTCTCTCTCTCTCTCTCTCTCTCTCATAAAATAATTTCAAATATGTTAAAAATTAGAAACATTAAATTCACATAAAATTTTATATTTATTATAAATGTGTTATTATAATAACATAAGTTATTTAAAGTCGGTTAAATATTTACTTATCAACATAAACATAAATGCCAGCAAATAAAACACAACTTTTAGTGATTTATAATAAAATACAACACAAGACAATTTATACTAAAATCAAATACAGTAAAATAACCTAGTTTTCAATATAGAGCTAAAACTATTTCTAAATAATGATATGGGGTTTAAACCCGAGATATTACGGTCCGACCAGTAATTTAATATACGATACCATTTGTATTAAATAACTACAAAACAACAATATTAAACATGCTAGATATTAATCATTTCCACGTGCTTAATGTAAAGTTTATAACCAACACTATATTGTTTTCTAAAACAATATTACATTAAGAATATTTTAATTGTAACAAACCTTTTATACACTAATACTGGTTGTATTATACAACATAACACAATTCAGTGACACAACTGTCTGAACAGTTAAAAATAATATTTAAAATACACGATAAACATCATTATCAGAAATATACAGCCAATGATTGCCAACACATACAGTACTTCCAGACCGATCTTCATCACTGTTGATGGCTATTGTTCACTGAACGCCATTATTATTATTGATATACATTGTATGTATATCATTGTTTCTTATACTGTATACTAATGGATATCATTTAAAATACAATAACATTTAATTATATTGAGTAAAAAATATTATTCATATAATTATAAATAGCTTTCACAAAATAACCAAGATCAATAATTGGAAAGCCAGTAATTGTGTCCGTGATGTCATTTACAAAAATAAGTCAGCGCTGGTATGCATCGCATCCCAAATAGTTATCAAATTCCTATACAACTAATCACTTCAGTATAATATATACAGAAATTTTTAGTTAAAAATAAATAATTTTGTTTATATTTTCTATTTCCGTAACATTTAAGTATTATTTTTATTATCTCTCTCTCTTTCTCTCTCTCTCTCTCTCCAGTCTTTCAAGTAATGTATAGAT